CTAGTTTGTCAATATCGGTAATTTGAGTTTCTAATTCATATAAAACTATAGACTTCGTATTTTGACTTCACAAACATCTAATTTGAACCAGTGCTGCATTCCAAATACCACATAACACACAAAAAACGATGTTTACCTGTGTTTTTTTAATACTTGCTTTTAAATTAAGAAATTGAGTAATATATATAGTAATAAAATTTGAATCTATGGCATTTCGAATGAAAGTATAAAAACAAACAAAATAAAAATAGTAAATAAAAAACTATGTAACAATTTAAATTTTGCCCATCATTGTATCTTCTAATCTATATAAATCTAATAGTGCAATAAGGTAGAGAAGTTATACATTTGGTCAATAAAAAATTAGATATACTTTACAAACAATTATTATGTTTGAAATGTGATATTCAAACTACAATGTAAAACTGCAGGATAAATGTTTATCTTTTGGTTTTTTATACTAATTTGTACATAGTAACAGGTGTTTTAATAGTGCAGGATTATAAACATTTTTGAATAGTTTATTTCATTGGAAAAATAAATCAAACTGGAAAATTTTTATCACTTTGTCTTAACCATATAATACCTGGTGCCATTTTTAAATTTGAATCCTATTAGAACCAGCTATGCACGTTGCATGTAGGTAATGCCACTCTCATCATATTTCATTACAAAAATAAAACTAGTCGATGAAATTGTATGTAGTTTCAGAAATATGAAATATTTCATTTTAATTTTTACTACTATTTCTAACAAAAATACACTGTTTAATGTACTTATTTGCACTCGGACTCTGAATAGTTCACCTGGAAGATGATTTTCATGTTAAGTATAAAAATGCAATTTTTTATCTTATAGTTTTCACATTTCATTTGCATAGTCTCTAGAATATTCTAAATGAACATCAAATGTTTTTTTCGGGTAAATCTATATTTTATTTTCCATTTTCTCTACCATATCACTAACTCTAGCTATTGTCATCAACACACAGTGAAATGAAATGTTTAAAATTAAGTAATAAAAATATATATATATTTACCTTTTATCTTTTTCCTGAATAATCTTCTTTGGGTCATACACACAATTTCATATCTTTACCTTTTCATTTATAGCTTATTTTTAATGTTATATTTTGCTTTGCTATTTTTTTATCATTGATTATTTATGTCAACACATGTCAACTGGTGCCAGCGGGCATTATAACATTATATTCAGCATAGACATTTTAGCCTCTGGCAAAATGTTTTGCACTGGCCTATTTTTCTTGGCTTTTAGGAGCAAGGCAAAGATTAAAAATATATTTTTTTAAATCATTAAACTTTTCATATATGAATTTTAAAACACAATTAATACATAATAAACTAATATATAAAAGTAAAACCTAAATGCAATTTAACTGTCTAACAAACTAACATGTATAAGGCATGAAAAAATGGGGACACTGATCTTAATAATGGACTTATCAGCAGTTCACTTTTCATTTGTAAACTAATTTATCACTTACACTTCCTGCTAAGCTTGAGACATTACAGTGACAAATCTGCCCTTTCTATTGGTTTTTAGCATGCATTCAAGTTAAAACTGTTGCTTAGCAACATTTCTTCTACTTCAAAAGTGGGCATGGTTTATCTTGAACTTGAGAATTTTTACAACAGTTTTCTCTGAGGCCATTTCTTAGAAATCAACTCAAGTTACAGGTAAGCAACCTATATACGTATACTTTGAATGTCTGCACAAAACTGTCTGCATTACAAACACTTGTTTCTTCTATATCAATTCTAAAGTTGAGAATTTTAAACTGCAAGCTCATTAAGTGATAACAAACTGAAAATTTAATTATTGTTTTAGAGGTTTCTTTTGAAATAAAATAATAAAAATTTAGATAATATAAAACTTTGAATTATAACGTACTTGATAATGCTAATTTCATTCAAATATACTGATGGTAAAGTGGTTTAATTAGATTTTGAATGTAAGTCAGTAACTTTGTGACATGTGCAGAAAGGAATTTAAAAATGCTGCAGAATGTTATAGGGTTTTATGTGCAACTTGTGTAGCCAAGTCTTATAGGGTTAATACAACCTAAGAACAATAACATTACATTTTACATTATTCTGTCTTCCATTGTGCTTAGAGGTATGTTGAAATTATATAATAAACTACAGATTAGTTTGGGGTAAGAGCAAAGAAAAACACTAGCCATCCTTGTCCATAATTGTACAGTTTGGTCAATTAATATATAACTAAAGTATATATTAAGGTATAAGTAACAGACAAAATAAAAAATGAATGGTTGATCAATCTGGCATCCATTCAGAGTCAGAAAGAAAAAATCAAGTTGAAGAGGACATAATTAGTTATTTTGATTTTTTTTCCCTGAGAAACAAGTCTTTCCATCATGTTAAAACTATTATACTTGCAATAATAACTATATTTCCCATTTGCTTAAGAAGGTAATTTTTTTACTTTAAAGTATAAGTAATCAAAGTTTCTAAATGATAAAAAAGTTTTACTCTTCAATTTAATAAAAGAAATAAGCTACTTATATTTTGATGTGCTGCTATTATATAACAGTAACCTGAACAGGTAATACTAATGTATAAATGTTTACATTTTTAGAATTAAAATGAATTTTAAACAAGTACTTACTTCTAAAATAGTACAAGCAATTCCTTGTTGGATTTAAATTTTGCTATCAACAAAACATGACTAAAAACTTACAAATATCTGTTATATATTACTGAGCATGTGAGTTACCCATAATTTTCTATTCTCTCACTTTCCATGTTACATACTGTGCAAGCATCAGGATATTTTAGCAGACTCTGCTTTTCCACCATAATTTAGATTTTACTGAGAGTTGCAGTCATGATGAAAATTTGGGTGTAAGGAGGTGGGGGAAAGATATTTCGGAGATAAGAACCTGTTTCAAATTCATTTTAATTCTAAAGATGTAAAATTCAAATCAGGTACACTTACCTTTGGAATATTGAAAGTCAGAATACCTATGTTGTAAAGAAGGCTGGAGCCAATGTACATGAAGAAAATATTAAACACAATCACTTTTTATCTACTGGAAATCTGTATTTATATCATTTCATCCATTCATATTCTGTAATCTCTGCATTTGCCCTGTGAAATCCAAATATTCCTACATTGCCCATTCACAAAACTAGATGTATCTGTAGTTGAGAAATTTTAGTGTTTTCAGCACCACAAAGAGATGAGAGTAAAAAATACTAATGGTGTAGAATAGGTCCAAAATTGAACTGGAAGCATTTAATTAGGATGACGAGTAGAAAATCGAAGTGAAAAATCTGATGAATCCAATAAATACATTGCAAAGGATCCATAGATAAACAAAACTAAAAGACAAGTACCTTGCAACACATTCTGGGCTAAAGTACCATAAGGGCCAAGTGGTCATAGAGACAACATCAATGAGTCTCATATATATAATAAAAATGCCAAAGAAGATATGTGATCAAGATTAAATTAATCAGGAGAATGAGAATAAATAATAACTGAGCAGAAAAAGTACATTTCAGAACAAGGCAAAGCATAGTGTGCAGGGCAGAATACTGACAATGGGTCAAAGTAAAAAAATGTAGAGTCCCCCATCCTCCCCAATAATCAAACTGAGGGTCAAAAACATGAGAAGAAAAGAAAGATGAGAAAGGGAATGAGGAGTGTATGAATGAACATATAGTTTCAAAAAAAGATCTAAAACCCAAATATCAACAGATGGTGAGAGAAATAAGAAGTTCAAGCATCTAAGTCACCTCAAGTAACACAAGCACCCTTAGGTGTAACAGAAAAAAGTTCAGTATTGAAAATACAAAACACACCCAAGAGACCAAAAGAAATTTCATCAGAATTAGGACTAGTACTATAGGAGACAAATCAAGCTATGCAGACTGAAGGCAATGAATTAGGCCCAAGCAAAAAACTAACTTTCATCAAAAGTGATACACAAATTAAACATTCAAATGATTGTTATACCCACCAGGAACATCAATATGCAATAGCACAAATATGGTGAATCATTAAACCTGACAAAGCACCAAACTTTTTACACTGCACAAAACAAGTTGCATAAATAAGGTCTCCAACAAAATTATGGAAATTCCAATAGTTGCTGAAATAAGTGCATCAGCAATAAAATGAATTTTGGCAGGAAAGCAATGTTTATGTAACATCTCCTAATACTTGTGCAAAAAGTCATGTGGAAAAAGGGACAGTGGGGAATTATGGGTAAGTCACACATGCTTTGGTGACAGCATGAGTTGAAACTCAAAAAAAAAAGGAAAGGCTTTCAGTATTTCAGAGGTAAGTCACTCTGACTTAAATATACCTATATAAATTATTAAAACATTTCTGTCAAAATGATTTCAAATTACATATTTTAATATATGATAATATAATAGCACAAGAGAAAAATTTTCAAACCTACTATTTGGCCAGTTAATACTGAAGCTTGAACACAGCAAAAAATAATAAAAAATATATTATTGAGAAAATCAGCACTTATAACATGGACAGACATAAACATAACAATAAAATTGTGTTAAATATTAATTAATCAGCAAAACTTTATTTCAGAATGCTTAATTACCACAATGCTTAGTAAAGAACAGTAAACTACCTCTAAGTTGCTAAGAGCTCTATCTTGACTTCTCATTAACTCTTGTAGCATAGCTGGGTTCCTCACAACTTCCATTGTTTGTCGCAACAAATCTGGGTTGTTCAGCATATGACTGATTTCTGGGTTTCTCTGAAAAAACCAATACAAAGTTACTTACATCAGAATCCTATATTTTGAATGCTATTTACATATTTGCACCTGAATGTATTGTGGATAAAGAAATAATCATTTTTAGCTTTACTTAAATCTGACAAATATGATTACTTAAAACTAAATATAACTTCTAAAGAATAATTTTTTTTTGTATCCATTCTGATACTTAAGATGTGGATTAAACAAAAACAGGTTAATAATTCGTGCTTATTTCTATTGTAAAATGCATTTTTAAGAGTAACGTATCATTAGGCTATAGTTACCTTCTGTAAGATCATTATACACTAAAAACACTAAAAAGTAATCTCAACTAAGAAATCATTCAAACCCTACCAGAGTCTAGTATCAACTGATTACACTAAATAAATAAAAATCACACAGTTCTTAAATGCAACTTCAAATTAAAACTATTATATATATAAACTATTATATAAAAAGAAGACTTGTGATCACCTGAATCAAAACACACTGTAATCGCTGCTCAAAAATTCAAAAAAAGGTTATCAATGGAAATATAATTTTCAAATGTGTTCTCATTATTTCAAAATATATGATACAAAAATGTCATATTTTTTGAAACAACGACAAATAAAAACTAATATGTATAACATTATACCAGAAAGAATAAAATTAGATGCAGATTAACTAATGGGAATGCTCAGGAATATATTAGTGACATCAAAACCTATCTAAACATCCAAAAGTTGAATAGATTTCTATAAATGTTTCTGCATTTTTGATTCTGGCTTGTGAATTAGCAGATAATGGACTAAAAAGTTTGGCAAGTAAGCTGGATGTGGAATATGGCAAGAAGAGTATGTCACTGACAATGGGTCTTAGAAAAACTTCAGGTTTATGTATTTTGAGTAAAACATTTAGTTGAAGTGGTTTGCTTCTATTATTTAGTAGAGTTTGATAGTTTTCAGAGTGCAATCTCTTGATATTCTTGTTAATTTCTCATTCAGTTTGGTTAGTAAGTCTTTTTTGTTGTTCTTGTAAGGTTCTGTCTGAAAAATAGACTGTAGTTTATATTCATAATCTGTCTTGTTGAGTAGAACTGAACAATTCTCTTTGTCTGCTGGTAGGATACAAATAGTGGGATCTTTTTGAAGGTTAAGAATGACTGCTCATTCTTGAATGGACAAATTTGAGGTAGGTGGTTAGTGTTGTGGTGGAGCTGAATGAGTGAGGATTCTGAGTTCTTTACCATCTAGCATTGAACAATCTTCTTCTGTGGTGGCTATAATGACAATGGTCAGAATGAACTTAGGTGTTGGAGAGAATTTAAGACCAAGAGAAAGAACATGTGGGAATTACTTGAACTTAGGTTTATGATCAGTTGTTAAATGTTGATGTTTTTCCTGTCAAGTAAGATAAGCTGGTCCAATTTGTGAATTCTTAACCATTTCCAAAATGTAGTTCAAACTGTGGATAATAATGTCAAGAACTTGATTAAAATACCCTTTGCTCAATGTGTTTGTAAACTGGGTTTTAAAATAATTCAAAACACGCTGTCAAGATATTCATTTTTGTCTGCAAAGCTGAATGGTCTTGAGTAGTATATATTATTAACGTATATAGAAGGATTTTGTTGATATCATGGGATGGAATGAGAATCTGGAATTTAATCTGCAAACACTTACGTTGAATTCATTATCTCTGCATCTGATGAGAAAAGTAAGGTGGTTGTTGAAGCATGTGAGTTAAAGATGTAATTATAGCTGTTAAATATTTTCAAGATGGCCAGTCCATAATGGCTCTTGAGATGTTGTTTCAATGGAACTTAAAACAGAGTAGACATAGGAGAGTTAGAAAACTATGATGGACTGTAACTGCCTGTTGAATGAAAAGGAAACAACATTTCAGCATCAATACTGAGGCCTCATTGTAGAAGATGAAAAGTCTTATTTTCTTTCAACAGGCAGTTGTAGTCTATTAGTTTTCAAACCTTGCAACAAACTATATATATAAGGCATGAACCTTTGTATTCACAAAAGTCCCTATCTTTTATTCAGTGGCTTCACTTGTAACATTTGTTTTAAAAATGTAATGCCATGGAATATTGAAAGTCAAGTAATCCAAGCACATTAGTGTTGCATAAATTAATGTGACATTTGTTCAGTTGTGGATATTTTTTAAAGTTCTCACTAAAAAATTCAGACTACTTTTAATACTTTTTATAAGGATAATCATAACACAAACAATTTATCAGATAGATTGAGAACTATAAAACAGTTACAGTTTGATTTGTTTAAGAATTATTATTTGGAATCTGAAATTCAATCACCAGGAGACACTAATGGGTAATTCTATAAGCACTTAGTAAGTTAGAATAAAATTGAAGTATAGAGATGTGTAATATAAAATATCAGAAATGAGAATATTTTTCAATGATCTTCATGATGCAAATCCATTCACTTTCCTTATACAAATGAAAAATAGTGGCCTTTGGAAGAATCCATTTAGGATTAATAAGGAATAATTTATAATTAGGAATAATAAGTATAGCTTCGAAACTATTATATCAATTACATTAATTGTCATTAGGCAGTCAAAATCAGCACTATAAAACAATAATGAACTTAATATAAATTCAAAACTATTTATAGAAATAAAAAAAAAACCTTCACACTTTCCGGTCATTAACCAAAAGTCATAACGGAGATTGGCTGTGGTAATAGCATCCAAAAGCGTTGGGGATATCCCATCTATCAGACAAAATCCAAAAAGCTGATAAAAAACTAGTTAGGAGTCATGTAAAATTCATTAAGGGTACAGAGATGAGTGCTTACACCCACAACGTCTCAACTCTTACTGCCTTTCACTGTCTGCAGCCAGTTGTGGGAAGGCACTTACATTTAAAAAGATGTAATAAAGATAAAAGTAGAAATATAATAAAATCAAGCCACCCCCAAAAAATATATTTCTACTAAACAATGCTTACCATCCTCCACCATTAAAACTTCTAAAAATATTCTTAAAGTACAATAAATACCAACCTAATATTTCTACTACATGTTTCTCCCATCCTCCTCCCTTTTCTAAAAATGACTTATTTATTATAAAAGATCTTAAAAAGAACTACAATACTTACCTTAAGTAGTTCATATCATCACATTATTCAAGTACAGCACGGGATAGATGAGACAAGTCCCGGCTATACTGAATAAATCTAACTTAAATATTAAAGGCAGCTAACTACCTCTAGTAACAAAAAAGGATTTTTCCTCATTGAATATATATATATATATATATCAAACTTGGAGGATTTCGCTGATTTGTTCTGAGAAACATCAAATAAAAACATTCTCCTCCTAACAGACTAGATAGAAGAAAGTTGGTTATGGTGAACTATACCCATTCTACCAAAGATGTGCCAAGAACTGTGAAAGCAATATGATAAACCATTATGACTAATTGGATGAAAAACTTAGAAAAACAATTCAACATCACAAGACTTAATCTATAATTATGACAGAATTTTTCGAGATAAACTCTATATAATCTATTCCTTAGATTTAATTTCATGAAACCATGCTTCCCTTTGTTATTAGACTAGTGAAATTCCATATTACAGAGCAGCATATGAAACATATGTTAGCTCTTTATTACAAAAATTTTTCATAAACAAACAGGTAACACTACATGTTTTCCAACTATAAAGAAAAAAGTTCAAGAAACTAGAAACAATAATAATGAAGTAAGTTCATTAGAAAATCAATGAAATAACTTATGTTACAGACTAAAATTTCAATGTCTGAAGAGGATTCTTACAACCAAAGAAACAAAAGTTTATATTTGATGTACATGTTTTTCAATGACAACATTTAGTAACCAACAGAAAAAAAATTATTTTTAGTTTGAATGCTACATTTGTTTAATGATGGAAACATTTAAATTCTCTACAATGATATGTTCATCACTATAGCTTGCTACCAATTGCATATAAAACTGACTTCACAGCAAAAATATTAAACATAATATTAAAATATGTGCACTACTCAAACTTTTTAAACAACGAAAGATAAATTAAATTTCAATTCTAAATGGTAACTTGACTGCATAAAATAAACAATTAAATCAATACATTACTAATTTATTATATTTCTGTATTTTTGAAAGGACTGGAAACATAATATGAAAAGTACTTTTTGTTAAGTCTTAAATTTAGTTCACACGCACAGTTAGTTAAATATGAAACATCTACAAAACAAAAATATTTGATAAAATGAAATTGTATCATAAATAAAGGATTTCCTTGCTAAAATTACAAAGGTAAACTAATAGTTTTATTCAAAATCAGCATAAACCTTTCAATATCTCAAATTTCTCTCAAACATATCATTTTTCCAAAAAAATATATTTTTAGTATACAAAAAGAAACAGGTCTTACTTCCATAAGTTGTTGCATCTGTGGGTTACTTGTAATTAACTGTCTCATATATTCAGGATTGTTCATCATTGATTGCACCATGGGGTTTTCCATAAGTTGGCGCATCATATCAGGGTTACTCAGGAACTGGAAAATAAATATAAATTTATGATACATTAACTAATTTTTACTCTACAGGAATATTTTGAAATTTAAAATCAGTTGCTTACACTCAGGAAACAAATATAACTTATAATGAAAAATCAGTTATGGTTTAGATATACCAGCTAAGTTTCAAGAACCACCAATAAGTATTTACAGTAAGGTTTTAGTAACCAAATATAAATCATTGTCAGGGTTAGTATGCTATGTAATAATTAACAAGTTACTTTTTTTAATTACTAACTAGCTTATATCCTATGTTTTGGCTATTAATCTTCTACCATCTTCAGGAGGGTTCTGAAATTACTGTGTTTATGGTGATAGTAGCTGGGATTCAATCCTGGGTCTTCTTGATAGGAAGACTAGTGCACTATCTGCTCGCCCACAATCTCCCCCATTAGGGCTTTAAGTTTACTAGCTATTTGTAAGTTTTCACGAGGGGCACCCAAATTTTGCTGAATTCTATTCTACAATGAGTGTGCTATCAGTTAAAAGGGCTTTGAAAACTTCTTTTATGATTGTGTGGTTCATATCATAGTATTTTTTGTATTATTCCATTTTATTGTTTGGTTTTCTCTGTCATGATGGGCATTTGGAGATATTTCAGTATTAAACAGTTATGTATATCTATTATGCTCCTGAATTCTAACTGTTGTAAATAATATTTCTGCACTTCATCAGGTATTTATGTGATCTGGTTTGCAGTAATTATGATCCTAATGCATTGAGGCTTCTGAATATATTTCTTATTTTATGTTACTTACACATCCTCTGTATGTTTTCGGAAGGACCTTTGTCAAGTGAATATGGCTGTAAGTCTGTAATTTTCTACCTGTTTATTCTTGGTGTTTATCTTCTTTATTTACTTTATCCATTATCAGTATGAATCACAGTGTTGTGTTTTTCTTCCTTCTTCTTAGGATCTTCTGAATTACAAATCTTAATTATTCTGCAAACAAAGCAGTCTATGATGCTCATCTTTATATGGTTGGGATAGTTTGATTGAGAGTTGAGGTATTTAACAGTATCTGTGGGTTTCCTGTAAACTCCTGTGGTATGTGAGTTTATTAACTTCTTCTAAACCCATTGTGAATTATATGGATTCTGTCTGTTAAGATAATTTATGAAATTCAAAATCTTGTCTGCAGTGTGTAACCATATCACAAATATATTGTCAACATAGGATCATGATGTAAAAGCCTCAAAAGAAGGTGAAGCATGGAGAGATAGCAAAGAAATTAACTAGGTAATAGTTGAATATGAGAAACTGGAGAGAGAGAAGGAGAAAGAGGAGACTTACACGCTAAAAGAAGAAACTCAAGCAGTGGAGGCTCATGCAACAATTAGCCCAAACTTCAGCAAGAAGTTCTAAAACATTGATGTGTAGGAAAGTCTTGTCATCTGTCCATAGGCCCTGAAATTCCTGATCGTTGAGATATGCACTCCATCCTTGAAGCAGAGCATCCGTGAAAAGTTGGATCTCTGTACATGGTGGCAGCAGAACACCTATTACAGTATTGTTCTGATCTAACTACCACTCAAGATCTAATATGTTGATCCTGAATAAGGAGACTGAAGAATTCAGTGAATCGCTGTTCATGATCTGTTGGTTGCATAGAGACCACTGAAGGGATCTTGCGTACTCATCCCAAAGGAATGAGTGATTCAAGTGATGCGCATATCCCCAAAAGAGAGAAAACCATCCTTGCCATGGGAGGAGACATAAACGTTGGACTGACTGTTTCATAGGGTGGAGCTAGATAGGATTTGGCCGAGCCTGACTGAGATGTGTTGAAGACACCCAGATGTACGATATATTGTGTTCAAGTTAGAAAAGATTTCTCAGCTCTGATAAGAAATCCTGCCCCTATTGCTTCAGAAAGCAGAACCTGGGTGTGACATTCCACCAACTGATAAGATGGTGCCAGCAGTATCCAGTCGTTTATGTAACGGTGTGTGCACCAGCCCAGGGAATGGAGGTGACTGAAAAGGTTTGTGCAATGTACAGAACTTATATGGTCCCAGTGCTAGTCTGAAGGGCAGAGCCCTGAACTGCAGCACCTGACCCTTGTGTACAAAACACAGATAGTGGCAGGATGACTCTGCTATGGGAATGTGCAGATAGGCATCAGCAACACTGAACAAAAAATTCCAAGCTAGAATGAGGAATGACTCCATCATGAAATTTGGAGGATCTAAGAATTGACTTAGATAAGAAAGATCTATGAACGGACACCAATCTCCCATCTTCCTGGTCAAAACAAACATACAGGAATAAAACTAGAAAATTCTCTCCACTGCCGACTTGACCAACAAATCTCTAATAGCCGTGGTATGAAGTTGCGAACTCTGAGGATCTGCGGGAGGCAGAAATAGTACAGGTTGGGGGGATAATGGTGATGGTGATGTGAACTGAATGACCAATTCTGGTGCAAGGACCTGTAGATCTATGGTAAAGTTTTTCCAAACATCCAGAAATTCTCAGAGTTGAGCCATCATAGACCCCAAAGGCATATGGTAGCCACTGCCACCACTGGCAGCATTCCGACTGAGCGGAAGAATCTCGTGGATACAAAGGTCAAGACACTTGAATAAGGTAGAACTATGACCCCATGTAGGAGCAGAGGAAAGTCTAGAAGCCAAAAAAAAAAAAAAAAAAGAGATGAATGCACATGGGTGACATCAACTCTTGATTTCAAAGACTCTGGAATGCCTGCAAAAATCAAAGGTCAGAGAAAAGGGGCTTCTCGTAACTCAAGGAGAGCTGTAGCAGGTACACAAACACCATCCAACAGACTAGGGAAAGTGCAGAAGCTGGCAATCAAACCAAGGTGGATGCTAACAATGGTCCCAACTCATCATCAAATTGATGTAGCGATTGCTGAGACTTCAGAAAAAAAATGTAAGGATGATAAATATCTCAGCATCGTAGTTATGGTAAACTGAATCCTAGAAAATTATTATCTATTCAGGTTGACCACAGACTCTGTTCTGGAACTCCACATTTCCAGGAGAGGGTCTATTCTCTGAGAACCTAAATATGTGTCAACCTGGTGGTGATAGGCTAAAGCATGTTGTTCTGACAAACGTGTTGGATAAGGCAGAACTGTCCCTTCATGTAACTGAGCAGTACATCTCCTTGCACAAGCCGCAATATCAGGGGATGGAGGGAGAACTAAGTACTTGCCCTCAGACCTTTCTGCCATCAAGGAAGGCACAGACTCAAAAGCAACCGGGGACCTAAAATATTGCACAATCGATTTACTAACCAAAAAAAAAGGAGCTGGACGCTGCTAATTCAAACTGACTTCCTAAGAAGCCGACAGAGTAAAGGAAGGCACCAGAAAAAGTGAATCTAAATTCTCTCCAGAATGTCCAGGACCATTCGCAAATGCAGCCTCAGAACCCCCCTCCGGAGAAACACCACCAGACTGAATGTATGTATCCATCTCACTATGGATAAAATCATCAAAAGCTTCAACTGAGAGCAACCCCCCTCCCCCGATTACTTTTTTTTAGAAAATCAAATATGTAACAAGAAAAATGAGGGGTGATTGGAAAAAATTGCAAACAAGGAAGAATAGTCAAAGTATTTCCAATGGTCATACTATAGAGAAACCTGTTACTAAATGCAACACTCATTGTCAGGTCCCATTGATGATACATATTTGGCTGGCACAACACTGGTTTCCTCTACTTCACCAATTGGCATCAAGGACCCCTCTTTCTCTGCTTCATTCCACCTCCCTCTTGTTCCAACCTTATACATTTCTTTTTCACCCATGGGTGTCCTCCTGGTGTAAATCATATGTTTAACCTGATCTCTTAATACATTTAACCTAACAAAAGTTATTTTCTGATAATCCACTTGACCATATTTAAACAATCTCCAACTTAAAAGACATTTGAAAATAAAAAACATAATCATATTATGACTAAATGCACTATTAAGCTTAGAGTGTGTGTTATCACTCAGCAAAAATAATTAGTGCCCAATCACCAATTTGAAGATTATGCTGACAAAATCAAAAATCCTCAATTGAAAGAGTCTATATGCTACTAGGGAGGTCAACAACACTCTAAAGTAAAAAATATTATAAGGAAATTTGGCACGTATTTTATTATTTTTAAGTCATGTATAGAGGATTTCTTAAAATAGATAAAAATAACTTAAAAAGAACAATTTATGCACCTATAATAAAAATAAAACTGAATACAATTTTTATAAGCATCACTGTTACTTTTTTGGAGAATTGAATTTAAAGCATGAATGTGATATTGATTTTACAATGCTATAACTATAGAGTTGGGTGATTAACTTGAAACTTAATTACCCATGAGCACTGATTATATCAATTAGTGTCACATAAAGTATTCAATGAATCAAAATTACAATTAAATTGATTAATGTCACAAAATAATCAACTAGTATTTTCCATTATTAATGTTTTTTGATTACCCCAACTAGCCAATAATTGCAACTATTATAAAATTGATTAGTCGTGAAAATGATCAACTAATCCAAATTAGTGCTTTCACTTACTTTGTACCATTTCTGATTATACAAATATTCAGTAATCAAAATATTGTCATTATTATTTTATATATATTCAAGTTTGTTCAGCTTAAGTGATTAGTGGTGATTCATGAAAATAATCAACTAACTGAAATTAAGAGTATTATTTTCAATCATACCAACTATCAAAGTACTCAAAATGTTGCCATCATACTTTTTAAACACAAAGCTACAAAATGAGCTATCTGTTCTCTGCCCACTACAGATATCAAAATACAATTTTTAAATTGTTGTTTTTTATTTTATTTTTACTAATTCAAGTTTGTTCAGCTCTAGGCAAGACCCATGGCAAATTCAAGATACTTTAGTATTAAATAAAGTATAAATTTACTGTATTTTTTTCACATTGTGTTATGTTTATAATTTATAACTGTGAAACTCTAATCTTTATTACTGAATAATATGTAAAATCTATTTCTGCATTGTAATTTATAACTTACAAAATTTTATTTTTTTTATGTGAAAAAAATTATAAATTTCTCTTTTATGCATTGTGTATGTATGACATTAATAAGACCAAATCTCCTACATTCTGTGCTCTGGTGGAAGTTGTGACAAGCACTGGCATGTCTGGAACACACCATAAAGGGTTTACAAATAAAAATTTGTCTAATACAGTTGAAGTATGTTAAAAATAAGTACTTCATGTAGCAAGTTCTGATATTCTTTTATTTTTTTCTATGATTGTCAGTTTTGTTGGTCAGATCTCATGCATTCTTAACAGTGTTTTACAAAATAATTTTATTTCCAACAATGAAAAACATATTCAATTAACTGAAGCATGATTTAGGTCTTGGCTAAAACTATGAGTTTTTTAAATCATTTACTTGCAAGTTTTTTCAAGGTAATTTCATATGTACATAGCCATCTCATGTGAGAATATTCAATTAGGTGAATGTAATAAATTAAGGAACCTAACAATTAATTGATTAGTAAACTTCATCAATTGCATGGCTCTGTGTGATTTCAGAGGTTTATACAATGTTCAAATTATCTAATCAACTAATTAATATTTGTTGTTAATCCAATCTACATGTACTTCTTCAAGATAGTAACATTTTAAGTTTTTTCTACAGTTTATTCTCAATAGCTTGAAAAATAGAAAATGTTCTGTAAACAAACCTTATTTTCCAATATAACTATCTGAATACCTAAGAAACAGAATTTATAAAGAAAACTATATTAGGTCTAACTAAATTATGTGAATTAATTACCACTAAATTGACACAATACATTTGAAAACATGTAATTAGTGTGAGCTTAAATACATTAAAACTCAACTGGAGATTTAAATAAAAGTAACAAACAGAACTTGAAATATTAAAATACCTCCTGTTGCATTCTCTGCTGCATATCCATAAAGTTAGCAGATCCTAAACCCAAACCAGCTAGTCCTGGTAATCCACCAATACTTCCAAGCCCAAATGGTGTGGCAGAAATATCAGCTCTACTCTGCTGACTCTGCAAAAATTTTTAAAGTTCAGACTTGTACACACAGAACAACTTAAATAAAAACTGTTAAAAACAGATCTACTATCCTCTTTAGATACAAAAGTATGGAAAATTGTACTATTGATTTAGAAACATGTAAATACAAAATGTAGGGGTAACATCAAACTTGTTACTTAGAATAAGAACAGTACCAATTTTGCATTAATACACCATTTTGCTACATTTAGAAAAGAGTATTTCAAAAGTCTTCCTACACAATTTTTTTCCCTAAAATACTTAAAACACACATCAAACTAATCTATTTCAAATTTATAAAGTACACACAGAAAGAATTAAATTAAATTAATATTTACTGTGCATTTGAATATTTACATTTTCCTACACTGAAAATGTATTTCCAATAGATTTTACCTCCTCAAACATAACTTTTTTTTTACTTGTATTGCCCTCTATATGCGCAAATTTTCACTCGCAGCTAGCCTTGATACTCCCACTTATCATCAAATTTTCACATAAGGCACCTGCATAATGGCATGCAATTAAGCTTGCGACAATCCTCCACTAAGATGAGTGAGACACAATTCCAACTTCAGCTGACTCCCTCTATGCCACTTAACTCAACTTCACTTTGAGATTGAGCATGAGTAACATAAAAGGAAAAATGGACACCAGAAGTGGGAAGGAAGAGTCAGAAGTTACAATGAGGTACAAAACTATAGGAAAAAGTTAACTTTCTATATGATATCTGACCTCAGCTAGAACATAACAGCTAGAATTCCACACTGACCTAGTGGAGGAACCAGTGTAACTTCACCTAGATGAACCCCCTTCAGAAAGCCCCTGGGTGTATGAGAATAAAGGATATGTAAAACACACCCGTGGAAGACCACACCACACCTTATCCAGGTATACTATTCATCCATGAAAGTGAGGTGTTGCAATAAGGGCAGAAACATAGGAGGGACCTCATAAATTAAATGATGTAAAGTGTAAACCTCATGATGTAAAGTGGCTAGGGTGCAGCATACCATAAGGGGAAGTTCAACCTCAACCAACACCAATGGAACTGTGATAGAAATATCCAGCCCATGGTAGAAAGGGAGACTTCTACCATTCACCTCGGACATGGGAACTGAAAGGGAAGAAGATCTTCCATTCCAAGGACCCTGATCATCATGTGTGCATGTTCAACACAACCAACACCAGTACCCACAGGAAACAGACATTACAAAGAAGGACAGCAATCTGGCAATTCAAGTCCAGTCCATAATCAGGCATTGGAGTGTACCTGGGCCACTCATATGTGAGGACTTATGTGGCTGGTCCAGCTCCAACCAACACAAGTACCCCCCAGGAACTGATATCTGGGCGACAGTAGGAAAAATGGCACCCAACTGCAAGAGTGAACTGCATTTTGGCAGAAATTGTCCAGTCCATAACCAAGCGGCATCTGGAATGGTACATAGGTCCACAGGAATGTCTATATACCATCTACACTGTCCTACTCTCAACTAAGTGGAATTTCACACGCTCAGGATAAAGCATCCACGGTCCACCATCTCAGCAGTTAGAAGCTGGTAAATGATAAGGGCTCACATACTCCACTGGACAAAGGGAGGGGGTGAATAAGGCATTGGAGAGTCTGGAGGAATATAGCACCAGAGACAGGCAATGGGTAACTGCAGAACAATAATTGAAAAAGCAGACCATTCCTGGTTCAGTCAAATGAAGGAGCAGCAGGGATGGGTAGCAATCCCCTCCTGCTTCACTCATGTTAGTCCATGAGTGTATGGTCTGGGATGAACATATTTATGATGCAAAACACCATGAGGAAAACCTACAAGTGGTCTTGCAGAAACCTCATCTCAAGCATGGGTGTTATTTATTGACCTGAATGACCAGTGGGATCCAGATATATAGGAAAGGTTCCCTGTGTAAAAAAAAAGTTTATAAAAATAGCACCTACCCAGTCATAGAAAATCTGTAGAGCTAAAGATGGCTACAAGAGGTAAATGGTAACTGGTGGAGTAGGAAATGGCCATATGATACAAATAATTTGAGATAAATGTATAGAGAGTGGTCCATATACCAGCATGAACTATATCTTCTAAAGGAGAATGGAAACAGACAGCCAGGAACATGGTAAGACGACAGATTTGATAAGGAAGAAACTTGGAAGAGACAACAATCATCAGTAGAAAGAAAATAATAAGCCAAACAAATCTGCTGGTGAATCCAACCTGAACGGGTAATAGGAGAAAAATCATGGGAAAGGGAAGGATTCCAATGAATAAAGAAATGGGAACCATGGAAGGGAGCAGTGTGAACCACATAACAGCAGAGGCCCCAGACAGGACATAAAAGATAATCTGGATCTGAAAGAGGATAAAGTACTTTTATCCATCAAAAAATTTCATATGTGAAATCTTTATAATGTCTGGATAGCTATCAAACGTTTCTTTATGTTTTATTTGTTATTTTCAGTAATTAACCTCTGTATGGGTTTGGTAGATTTGGACGATCTTGCACAGCCATAAAAAATTAGAAAATAAACATAAATTATGCCTCTTTCATTCTAGAATGAACACAAAAACATAAATGTTTAGATTAAATAGCTTAAATCTCATAACATTATACATTTATATATATATATATATATA